CATATCAAAAATTATAAATGCTATCTATCTATCATGTTAAATATTATATATTGAACATTCTAATCTTTAACTAACTCACAATATCTATTATTATTATCATTATAATTAGTACACTTAAAATAAATATTATTAAAAAAATAACCAGCTATATTATTTTCATTTTCTTGAGACAAAAATATATATATATTTTTTTAAATCATGTTTATATATTTAAATCAATAAAATAACTTTTATATTGACAAAGATAATGAAATAATTTTCTGAATTAAAAATATCAAATTATTAATAATATTATTTATTATTATATTATTATTTATTATAAATAAATCAATAAATTCAAAAACAAAATTTTGACCAATAGAATCATATTGGTAAATCTGTTTTATTAATTTCACTATATTTCACCAATATTATCTATTTCACCAATATTATCTATTTTATCAATATTACTTATTTTACCAGGTAAAATTAATTAGTTCTACTTGTATCCTTAGTCAAAAGTATTTAATAGTTCACACAATGGCAGAGTAATTTTGTTTAGCTTTATTTAAGTTATAACTTATATAAGTAATAACAAATTCTTATTTATTTGTTTCACCTTTTTACACAAGAATAGCTCTTAGTTCAAATGATGATATATCAGTATACAAATAAAATGGTTTATTAAAATTGTAATGTTATAAAATTGATATAGTAATTAAGTACTGTTTTAATAAGTTAAAGGTTTTTTGTTATTCAACAGATCAATAAAAGTTCATTTTTTTGAAATAACTAATTTAGAGATTTAGCAATATCAGAGAATTAATTAATAAATTTTCAATAAAAAGTAAAGTCAATAAATCCTTATAGTGTATAGAAATTTATAAGGATAAGAAAATTTTTCACTGTTAATTTTTTCCTTATCAAGTTTAATTTCTTGTTGAGTAATTTTATATTTTAAAAATTTAATAGAATGTGATATTTATTCTTGTTCAATTTTAATTTCATTTTTTATAAAGTTTTAAATACTGTTTTTAAATGTGTAACATGATTGTTAAAGGTTTAAGAATAAATGGTAATATTATCAAAATAAACAATTAGAAATTTGTTAATGTATTATGTTAATACTTTATCTATTAACCTTTGAAAAGTTATAGAAGTATTACAGAGTTCAAAAAGTATAATATTAAATTAATATAGTTTATGTTTAGTAATAAAGGTGGTTTTTCTTTTATTATTTTCCTTGATTACAACTTGCCAATAACTAAAAGTTAAGTCAAGAATAGAAAATCATTTGGCATCTTAAACTTTTTAAGAATGTTGTCAATAATAAAGAGTATATAAATATTCTTATTAAGTTTGTAGTAGTTAATACAAATTTGATTTTTTTCTATTTTTCTTGAAAACTATAATAACTGACGAGGTTCAGGGACTGGTAAATTCTTGAATAATTCCTTTTTCCAATATGATATTGAGCTTACTTTTAATAAAATCTCTTTTAGAAAGAGCAATTCGATAAGTCCTTTGTTTAATAGGTTTAGTATCTTTGATTTGAATTTTATATTCAACAACATATATTTGTATCAGTTCAATTGTTTGACCTTTCTTGAATATATTTTTAACAAATATATCATTGTAATCAGTAAAGAGTTTATCCATAATAACTGTTTGTTACTCATCAAAAGATTCTTGTATATCAAATTGTTTATCTTCATAGTTAACATTATTTGCAATAATTTCCCTTTCACAATTTATAAAGAATACAGTAGGATTTTTATCAAGTATGTGTCTTGACAGTTATTGTCATATTGAAGATAATAAGATTCAGATTGAATATAACAGTTTTTATTGTTACATTTTCTATGTAGTATTTTATGTACTTACCTTATTTTATTTTATTTATTTATTTTTTCTTATTTTTATCTTTTTATTCTGATAATAAATAATAGTATATGAGATTAACTTTAAATTTACAATATGGTAATTCCATGTGTTAATCATTTCATTTTTATTATATTTTATTTTTTTATTATATTTTATTTATTATATTATTATATTGTTGACCGTGATTATTTTTACTAAACACGATTAACTAATAATTGATAATAGGAAAACTATTGTTTAAAAAATCACAAAACAATTGGACGAATATATTACAGTTGGAAGGTTTTATACTTGAAGAGGTATAAGGAGTAAAGGATTTGAGGTTACAGGTTTGTTCGAAAGAGGCTAAGGTGTGAGGAATTTTAAAAGGGTATGGGGTTTTTATACTAAATCAACTAATATTCACACAGAATATTATCAGTTTCACACAGAAACTATAAGAATTCACACAGAATTAAGATAATTAACCAAGATCACGAAGCAAGGTTAATTATAGACAGAATAATATCGAAATCATAAAGCAGGGTATTATTTATCAAAAAGTATTTCACTAAGAAATCAAAGGTTTCAAATTATTATTTGTTATAAAGACTTTTATTAATAATTTATTACATATATCGAGTTCAGAATGTATTCAAGTTCTAACTTTCCTAACTCTAAAGGCAAAAGCTATTTCTATTTATATAAAATTGCCATCCTTTCATGAGACTATAATTACTAATCTCAAGAAAGTTTCAGAAATTTCCATCACATTTCAGGATATTCCATAAGCTATTTTTGGCTAATAAGTTATTTGTGCTAGAGGTATTTATCAGAGGTGGTGATCAGAGGTGTTAACCAAAGGTGTCAAACAGAGGTGTCGACCTCGCGTTACAACAAAAATGATCTACATCTGTTACTTGTAAATAATAGTACTAATATATAATGTTATACAAATAAAAAAATCTATCTAATAAACTAGCATAATAATGTTAATAAATAATATATATAAAAATTAAGAAATCAGGCTAACAACATGTAAATATAATGAAGATAGTACAATAGAAAAATTAAAGACCAAAGACATCATACAATGGGAAGATACATGTTATAATGTTAAGGATTATTTCAAAGATTCAGTAATAAAGGATTTGCACAAAACTTATTCAGCAAATTATTGAAAAGCTATATGAAGACTTTTACATTTGCTTGGTTTTACAGGTATAGATGATAAACACATTCTCTTTGATGATTAGATAAAAGTTGTATTTGAAATATTTTGTGAAAAATTTATAGAAATTCAAAGTTAATCTTTATTACTCTTTGGCTTTAAATCTCATACAAAAAAAATGTCAAATCTTAACTTAGCTATAAAGACAATTAATGTTATTGACTGTAATTACCTTTACTAAACATGATTAACTAATAACTAATAACAGGAAAACTATTGTCTAAAAGATTACAAAGCAATTAAACAAATATGTTAAAGTTGGAGGGTTTATACTTTAGAGAAGTATAAAGAGTAAAGGATTTGATATTACAAGTTTGTTTGAATGAAGTTAAAGGTGTGAGGATTTAAGAATATTATCAGTTTTACACAAAAACTATAGTAATCCACACAGAATTAATATAATTAATTCAGATCACGAAGCAAGGTTAATTATAAATAGAATAATATCGAGATTACAAAGTAAGATATTATTATTAAGAAAGTATTTCACTAAGAATTTAAAGGTTTCAAATTATTACTTGTTACGAAGACTTTATTAATAATTTATTACATATATTGAGTTCAGAATATAATCAAGTTCTAACTGTTCTAACTCTAAGGACAAAAGCTACCTCTATTTATATAAAATTGTCATCCTGTCATAAGATTATTATTACTAATCTCAAAAAAGTTCTGGAAATTTCTGTTACATTCCAGAATATTCTATAAGCTATTTTTGATTAATGAGTCATTTGTGCTAGAGATATTTATTAGAGGTGTCAATCAGAGATGTCAACTAGAGGTGTGACCTCACATTACAATTAAAAATGATCTATATCCGTTACTTGTTGTTGACTTTGATTACCTTTACTAAACACAATTAACTAATAACTATTAACAGAAAACTATTGTCTAAAAGATCACAAAGTAATTAGACGAATATGTTAAAGTTGGAAGGTTTATACTATGGAGAAGTATAAAAAATAAAGGATTTGATATTGTGAGTTTGTTCGAAAAAGGCTAAAGGTGTGAGGATTTAAAGAGGTATGGAAATTTTTATATTAAGTTAACAAATATTCACAAAGAATATGATCAGTTTCATATAAAAACTATAATAATTTACACAGAATTAATATAATTAATTCAGATTATAAAACAAGGTTAATTATAAACAGAACTATACTGAGATCACGAAGCAAAGTATTATTATCAAGAAAATATTTACTAAGAATTCAAAGATTTTAAATTATTACTTATCACAAAGACTTTTATTAATAATTTATTACAAATATTAATTTCAGAATATAATCAAGTTCTAACTGTCTTAACTTTAAGGACAAAAGCTATCTCTATTTATACAAAATTGCCATTCTGTCACAAGACTGTAATTATTAATATCAAGAAAACTCTGAAAATTTCCATTACATTCTGAGATATTCTATGAGCTATTTTTGGCTAATAAATTATTTGTGCTAGAGATGTTTATCAACGGTACCGACTAGAGGTGTTAATTAAAGGTGTCAACTAGAGGTGTTGACCTTATATTACCATAAAAAATGATCTATATCTGTTACTCATAAATAATAGTACTAATATATAATATTATACAAATAAAGAAATCTAACTAATAAAATATGCTATTCAATATAATAATATTAATAATTAATATATATAAGAATTAAAGAAATAAAGTTAACATTGTAAATAATAGTACTAATATAAATATTATAAAAATAAAAAAATCTAATTAATAAAATATATTATTAAATATATATATAAAAATTAAAGAAATAAAACTAACAATGTAATTGTTGGCAATTGGTGTAGTTATACTATAAAAAGTGATTAAAAATAGGTAAGATCTAAAGGACAACAGATTTAAAAATATTTATATCAAATTAACCGAAAGCCATATAATAAATATGGTTTTGATAATTAAGAAGAAATAATGGCTAGAAAGTTAGACAATCCTGAATATTGTTTTATAATTTCATATAAATCAAAGGTATCTGATGATATTCAAGATCTTTTTGATTCTGTACCTATTACTAATAACACTATTTCAGATTATGCAGAGTATGAAGTTTCTGAATTATCTAGTAATATGATTGATGAAAAAACTTTATTTTTAGAAATACCAACTCAAGATATATGCCATGTCAATATTATTGATGAAACTGGTATAGCTGAGAAAAAAATATTTAAATCTCTAATTTCTTTATCTTTAGAATATCTCATCAAAAATAAATCTGATATAGATACTCTTATTCTCCTTTTACAATAAAAATTTCAAATGTCTCAAGAAAGTTTAAACAATGGAGAACTAAGATTGCCTTTGAATATTGGGATAATTATAATTACTGAAAAAAAGAATATGTGAGTATGAGTGAGGTTAACTTCTTAAAATATAAATGTGACTTTGAGTATTCCAACTATACTTGCACGTAAAATTATTTTGGGGCCCCGAAATTATAATTTCAGAGAAAAAAGTTGAAATAGTTTTTCATAGAAGACGAAATTATTTTACTTAAAACCTGAAATTTTTTGACTACCCAGATTTATTCTTTGATTAAAGATACATATAACTAGGTACTTTTTTTACTTCCATATATAGAATAGATTTTGCATAAATCTCAAAAAGTCGAAATACCTCAAAAATTCAAAATCAATTTTGGGAACATGTATAATTCCAACCACTTCACATAAAAATAAATTAAAAAAGTGATTTATGGTACTTATTGAGTATACATAATTTTTCAAAATAATATAGTCTAATTAAATAGGATATTCTAGATAAGGAGTTTTTGTTATCTTTTATAATAAGTATGTAGAAAAATTCAAATCAAAAATTAATACTTTGACACTTAGAACATACAAAAGGATTTTTGTGTTATGCAATTTGAATTGAGATAAGTGCTTTCAATATATAAGATAAGATAAATTAATTAATAATCATTTTTGTGTTGTCTAATTTTGATACTTTATGATAATTGATACTGATTCGGTAATATGTCAAGGCTATCAAAAAAATAATATATCAAGATTAACATAAAGCAAAATACTCTAAGGTATTAACTATATGAGCAAAGATTTTTCAAGATAGGAAAATATAACAAACTTTTGATAAAAAAAAATTATGTTTTAATGTATTATCAAATAAATGATAACAATTTGGTATTATGTGCCTCATTTTTGATCAATATTTAAAAATATTAGTTATGTAAGAAAGAGTTCTAGAATTGAAAAATATAGCAAACTTTTAATATTATACCAAAGCAGAATATTATAAGGAAAATGATAAGATAAATTTGTACTTTGACGTAATATCAAATAAAAATAGCAATTTGGCACTACGTGTCTCATCTTCAGCAATCAAATAAATTATAAATAACAGATTGCTAATTCAGCAATTAAATATGATAACTATACTCCACTACACTTTGTATCTGAAGTTGCTTTCCTCTGTGACAAAAAACAATTTAATAATCAAATAAAAGAACATATATTTTATAATCAACCTATTAATTGAATGATGAAGCAAATGCAAATTGCACATTACTCAAAAATAATAAAGTAAACGCAAAATGCACATCACTCGAATAACGAAGCAAATATGATCCACTCATCACGAGATAGATATATATTATATCTAAATTATAACTACTCAAAAATGATAACATAAACACAAAATGTACGTCACTTGAATGACGAAGCAAATGTGATCCACTTGTCATGGATAAGTAAAAATAATCTAGACTAAGTGAAAATAACATAATTATATTATTTCTACTCTTTTTGAGATTTATGCAGAATCTATTCTATATATGGAAGTAAAAAAAGTATCTAGTTTATACTTGCATGCAAAATTATTTTGAAATTTCAAAATTGTAATTTTGGAAAAAAAATCAAAATAGTTTTTCATAGAAGATGAAATTGTTTTACTTAAACTCCAAAATTTTTTAATTACCCAGATTTATTCTTTAATTGAATATACACATAACTGGATATTTTTTTACTTCCATATATAGAATAGATTCTACATAAATCTTAAAAAGTCGAAATATCTCAAAAATCTAAAATCAATTTTGTGAACATGCATAACCCAGTTATATATATATTTAATCAAAGAATAAATCTAGATGATCAATAAATTTTGAGTTTTAAGTAAAATAATTTCATCTTCTATTTGACTTTTTTTTTCAAAATTGTAATTTCAAGATCTCAAAATAATTTTGTGTGCAAGTATAATCTGAAAACTAAATTATTATTGGCTGATTTAAAATTCACATGATACATAACTTTATAGAGAACAATTCATATAGGTGACAATAAAAAAATGTGATAGTGACTATAATGCTATACAGAGATAAAATAAATAGTAAAATAATTGATAAAAATATAAATGTGATTATGTCAATTTTGTGACTATATGGAAGGTGACTATAAAGGAGTCTAACTGTACTTCATTAATAGGTATGTCTCCTAATGAGGCAGTAAAACATGTATTAAAGATGAAAAAATAATTTCAAAATTGGCTGTCAAATATCAAAGACCAAAAGGATATAATGAGCCTCTTATTTCTAATTATGCAGTAGTTTGTTATCTTTTAGAACCTGGGAAATTAAAAGGCTGGAAAAAAAGTGCAACTGACTGTAACTTGTCTTCTGAAACATTTACAATTGATTTTTATTTAATAAAAGAAAATCAACCTGTTCTTTATAAACTTTATAATGGTCCTAGATGCTTATTTGTAAGAGAAGAACTTCAAATTATTAAGGAAGCACAACTACTATCCCAATGGATACTCAATTAGATTTTAAACATTATGATGGATAATACATAGTTTTCTCTAAAAATGAAATGCAAATTGTCATTAATAGATGCTTGTAATATTGCTTTAGAAAAAGGTGAACAATGTCTTTCTGAAAGTTATACCAATAATAAAATTCCTTTACATTAGAAATGTGCAAAATATCATGAATGGAATGCTTTTTTATGTGATATAAAGAAAGGTAAAATGTTTTAAATTTAATATTGATATTGCTAAAGAAATTGCATTTAAAAAAGATGGTATTTTTCTTTTTGAAAAATATATAAATAGTTGTACACCACTTTCCTGGCAGTGCATAAAAAAAATGAATGGCAAGCTCCTTTAGAAAGAATAAAAAATCATAATTCTTGGTGTCCTAAATGTGTAATAAATAATCATAAAGTTGGTTTAGATTTAGCTAGAAATTTATCACAGAAGTGGCGAATGTTTATCAGATGAGTATATTAATATTCATACTCTTTTACAATGGAAGTGCCATCAAGGACATACTTGGTATGCAATTTTAAATACAATAAAAAATCAAAATACGTGGTGCCCTCAATATGCAGGATGTTCTAAACTTAATATTAATATTGCTAAAGAAATTGCGCTTAAAAAGGTGAAAAATGTTTATCAGAAAAATACATTGATATAAATTCTTCGTTTTTATGGGAATGTAACTATCAATGGTATACAAATCTTAAATGTGTAAGAAATTTGGATACATGGTGTCCTCACTGTTCAGGTAATGCAAAACTCTCCATTAAAGAAGTTAGAAAAATTGCGACCAAGAATAAAGAATTATGTCTTTCTGAAATGTATAAAACGTATAATGGTACGCATACAAAATTAAAATGGCAGTGTGAAAAAAAGCATGATTGGTATGCAACCCTGGATAAAGTAAAAAATTTAGGTACATGGTATCCATTTTGTCCATGGAAGAGACAAGAGTTCTGCAAGGAAATAATAACGAAATTATTAGACCCACCATCTGATATTCATAGACCAGATTTCTTAAAAGTACCTGATCATCCGTTAGGACTTGAACTTGATATATACTATCCACAATATGGTTTTGCTATCGAAGTTCAAGGTATACAACATGAATGTTTCCACGCTTTCTTCCACAAAGACCAAAAGGATTTCAAAAAGCAGTTTGCATAGTTTGCATGAGATCAGTTAAAAAAAGAACTCTGTGATGAAAATCAGATAGTACTTATCGAAGTATAGTATTTTGAAGACCCTTATACAGTGATCCCTCAACGACTTCAAGAGCTGGGTCTTATCTCTTGACTGATACTTGTCAAATTATTTGATTGTGTAACTTGTTAATGTGTAACCTTAATCTGATTAAAATGATCATGAATTCAATCAATGCCGATATCTTTTTCAAAAATGATTAATCGAATTCTGCCTCTAGAAAAGAATTTTCAAAACGTAAAAAAGTCTCTAAGAGAGAGAAAGTAAGTGAACCTCACAGAGATGGATTACGTTTTGCCCAGTATTGACATGTATGATAGTTTGCCTATACAGATAGGCTGGAATTTGTCAGTGGAAAAAATTGATACTTTCTTTGAACGCCACAATACACGCGGATATAAATTTGACATCGATTCAAAGGGAAACATATTTATAGTCGAGATAGAAAAAGACGAACATGCTTCTGTTGTTGGACAGCTTCAAGATTTTTTTAAAGTTCCCAACGGAGGTAACATCATTAATCCTCCGATAGATGTTCTGGGTTCTTCAGGTAAGAAAAATTCCTTTGGATCGCTTAGTCTTGTTATCAGTTTTATAACCTGTCCTATAATAGCTCACTATAAACCACGTGGAAGAGGAAAACCATCGGCACCTGATATTGCTATATATTCAAGTTTGAACATTATTCCGAAGCCCCCAATTCCAGCTCCACCTCCACAACGTAGACTAAGATTTCCTCGTAGAACTGCTCCAAGGACTTCCCGACATAATGAGATTCCTCCGGTTAACAAATCGGTTAGTTCTATATATTTCAGATTTTGTGTCTAATTTTCCCTAGTCTTATCATAAATTAATTATTTAGGGAAGACCTCACGCACGAATAATGTGCGAAATTGCATTATACCAAAGGTATAGAAATTGGAATGCAAAATGTAATCGTTGGATGTAACAGCAATATGTAAGAAGCGTATTTGGAGTTAAGATTTACGATAAAGAAGCCACACGAAATGCAAATGGACAGTTTGATCAGTGTATGATTGTGCGTGTTACACAGCCTATTTATTATTCAATGATTTCGAAATTTTTAAATTTTTTTCTATTTCTGATCTTAGGCCAGACTCTGGACACGTCAGGTGACACTGACACCAGGAAGACACATAGCAATACCAGGACAGCGAGGGGTGTATTATGAAGAGGTAAGATTAGCATGCCGTGGATGTTCTTGCAATCAATTTAAATGGCAAATAGGCCTTCCTGTCTATCAAGTTAATATCCCAACTCAAGATGTATTTTGGAACCCTCTTGTCAATAATAGAGGAGTTCCTAATTTAGCTGGATATAACATCACAGTCCCTAATGGAGTTGTTGGTGCAAATTTTGTTATAGACTTATATCAAATCCAGCAATTTGTTTTGCAAAACCAGGACAACTAAAACATATATTATGATAGATTATTGATCAATAATAGTTAAGGAAAAATTTTGCATTATATAGCGTTATATATTTTTTGTAAAATAGTAATTTTTTTTTGATACACGGAATATAATTGCATATAAAAAATTTGTATCATGCATAATGATCATGTGATATAATAAAAACAGATGTAATGTTACCACCAATATATTCTCAAGCATTAGATTTACCTCCTCTCTCCTCTACTTGATACAATATTTGTTCAAATGCATTACTTAAGTAATCATCTATTTCTGATTGATTATATACTATAATCTGCTTATTTCTAAGCCAGTCTGTTTATGAGTTCTTTTTCTTATCCTTTTCCTTATTATCTGGTTTGTCATCTATAAGAAATTTTGTTTTATTAGTTTACTAGTGGATCAAATTAATATCATAGCAACAAATTCTTCATGTAAGGGTGTTGTAGATTTAATTGACAATCTACAAGAAATTAAAGTCATGAATAACCAAGTTACTAGAGATTCAGAAAAGTTTTCTTTTGTAGATGTCTTATTTGGCTTAATACCTTTGTCTTTGCAAGAGTTACTTCCTCCCTTAACAGATAATATAAAAGAAACAAGTTAAATATTATATACTGTAATGGAGAAATTTAAAATTATATATATAAACATATTTGGATTAAAAGATGTAATGAAGTTAAAAAATGGAAAATTGACAATGGTATAGGAAATAGACAAAAAAAGAAAATTGGTCCTTCTATGTTAACTGGTAACTAGCATAATATTCACTATTTCTAAAAACAATACTAGAGTTTATAGAGACAAAAGACTTCTTAAAAACATTTCCTTTAATATAGTGAAAAATATTTATTTCAATTTATTCAAACATTAAATGAACAGGGTTATATAAAATAGGTTGTTTGGTAGGACCTTAACATGTCAAGGATAGTTGTTGCTATCAGGTGGTAGGTTGCAGACATGTCTCTTTATAGAGTTAGTCTGAGTTCCATTTTTACAATAGCTATTAAGATAAGTTGTATATTTTATATTATGTAATAATAATGTAAGAAACTTTCTCTTTTCTTAATTAATAAATCTGTAGCAAGGCTTTACTAGAACTTTAAAAAAAAAATCTATAAGAAATTTTGTAAGAGAACATAATGAAAATTTGAATTGTCCACATTTATTAAACTCCTTTTCAAGCAATTTCCAAAATGGTTTTCTTTGACTCTCCAACATTTTTCTTATATCATTTCTATTACCTGGGTGATATCTAGAAACTTTTGCTTTGTATACAGCAACCACTTACCTTTTTAGTGCTGGACCTAATTATTGTTCTTGAAATATTAGAGTTTTTTCATTATCTTTTGTAATATTACTTAATTATTGAAATTCTTTATTGATTAAAGATTCATCTTTATTACTAAATAGTTTAGTTAGATTTTTGAATTGTTTATTTTGTAACTGTACCTGTTTCCTTATTTCTTGATTTTTAGTAGGCTTAATTATCACTTGCCTATTTGGCTCTTCATTTTCAAGTTTTTCAAAGAATTCTTGTTCTTTTTTCATTTGTTTTGTAGATTTTATATTGATATATACTTTTTCATCTATTTGTAATAAAGTATCATAAAGAACTTGACAAGCTTTTAAAGTTTGTGGTTGATCATAATCTTCATGACATAGTTTTTTATATCTTTTTCATAATCTTGAATCCTATTTTTAGACTGTTTCACCAGGTAATCGATTATTTATATTTTTTATTACTTGGGATGAGATTTTTGATAATAATTTACTGGAAACAGTATTGAGAGTTATTTCAGATAAGGATTATTATGAGATATAAATAATGGAAAAATACAAAGCCTACATGGGTTCTTTCTTTATAAGTGTTCATGAAGTTTTTGTGAAGTTGCTATAAATATTCACATTGATCACAAGTTCAGTTTTTTTTGTCTTTTCTAACTATAGTTAAAATCTAATACTTGTAATATACTAAGTTTAACAATTTTTGCTATTTATTACTTATACAAAATCTTTAAATAATTATTTCATATCATACATTCAAAAATGTATATCAGAAACATAATTAAAATTATTG